AGTGAGCGAGCGAGCGATCGAGCAAGCGAGCTGAACTGAGCCGAGTTGTAGTGGAATGGAGTGGAGCAAAGCAAAATGGAGGGGAGAGTAGGATGTGGAGCACGTGAAAGCATTGCGTTAAATGGAATGCTTTAGGGTTGATGAATGAATGAATGAATGAATGTATTGTAGTCGTGATAGCTGGTAAAGAAGGGGCGTTCTATAAAGAGGCACTCAACAACTAACATCAAGGTGATGGCAAGAAAGTACCCAAGAAGAAGAGGGCTGTTGCTGGTGTTGGAAGACAGACGTACAGACGACGACGACGACGACGGGGAGGTGGGGGAGGAGGAGGAAGAGGCATTAAATGATGGTAAGAAAGAGATGCTACTTATTGTGCTACTGCACTACAACTGTACTACGTGGGTGCTCATATTCTGTGTGGCTTCCTCCTCTGCCCGTGCATTACTGCAGCCATCTGGACACACACACACACACCTCTCGCGTTTAATTATTTTGTTTCTCTGGATTGCTGTTATTGTTATTGGCGCAACAACTGCATGGGCAGTTTATTACGAAGTCAGCAGTAGTAGTAGTAGTGAGTTAATACCAGGCAATAGCTCGTATCTCAACGACACCTCAATGGCTGGTGAACCATTCACAAAGAGCACAGCATTCGTCGGTGGTGCATGCGTGTGTGCGGTAGCCGCATCGCTGTCCTAAGTTAATTAATTTTACACAAAGGCACTTCAAATAAAAAAAAAATATGCGACGGCAAATTTACAAAGCCTTTTTTTTAAGGGCACAACGTTGTCTGGACTTAGCGTCCCATCAACTGTCACGGGATGAGTTCATGTCTCGCACTCACGCAAAAAAAGAAAAAGGGCACTGTCTAGGTCAGCATGGTGATGGACGCGGAAGTGCGGTCGGCGATGAGCAGGGAGGGGTGGAGGGGAGGGGGAGGAGCATAGAGATATGGAACGTCATGGTAAGATAAGTTAAGTTCCATTATGCAGATGTGCCCATTATTTAATTAATTGATTAATACAATACAATAAAGAAATATTGAAGATGATAAATTGTCACGACGTGCAGTTGCGCAAAAGCTCACGCTTCGATGCCTTGCTGAAGGCTATCCATGGCAGAAAGAAGAGCATC